TTTCTGACCATGTCCATCCCTTTATGGCCACCATGTAACCATCCTCTGATGGCTACTTCCAGCAGGATAATGCACCATGTCACAAAGCTCGAATCATTTCAAATTGGTTTCTTGAACATGACAATGAGTTCACTGTACTAAAATGGCCCCCACAGTCACCAGATCTCAACCCAATAGAGCATCTTTGGGATGTGGTGGAACGGGAGCTTCGTGCCCTGGATGTGCATCCCACAAATCTCCATCAACTGCAAGATGCTATCCTATCAATATGGGCCAACATTTCTAAAGAATGCTTTCAGCCCCTTGTTGAATCAATGTCACGTAGAATTAAGGCAGTTCTGAAGGCGAAAGGGGGTCAAACACAGTATTAGTATGGTGTTCCTAATAATCCTTTAGGTGAGTGTATATGTATATATATAATATATATGTGTGTGTGTGTGTGTGTTAATTGCTTGATTTATAAACAATCGCATTAACTAATATTAAAAAATGTAACAGTGTAAAGTGTTACAGAAAAATCTCTAATGTGTCAAATAGCAATAGTGATGCACTGTTAATGATTTTTCAGTTCACATCATATTGCTGATTTTCCATTGGAGTGAATATATGACAGTCATTGTGTGTTGATTTCCAAAACCTTTACATAAATATCAGAAAAACAAGTATATTCAATCTAAAAACTACAGTACATGTTCTTATGTAATGGTTTAGAAACCCTTAATTTCTAAAATGTCTTGAATTAGGAAAATCAGGTATTTCAAATGGTCTAAACCAGGGGTGGGGAACGTCCGGCCCCCGGGCCGTAACCGGCCCGCAAAACAGTTTGATGCGGCCCGCGAGTCAAATCCTCCCCAAAAAAAAAAAAAAAGAACTTCAGAACCAAAAATCTCAGCCATTACCTTTCCTGTGACAGAAAACACAAAATAGGCAAAGCGGCAAGCAGGGCGAGGCCAGTAGCGCGAGTCACCTGCGCACCGGTTTCAGTTTCTCACGGATGAGCTTCGGGGGCGCGCGCGCCGCACCAGTTTCAAGTTTCTCACCGCGCCACGCACCGGTTTCAAGTTTCTCACTGATCAGCTTCGGGGCGCGTAAAAAGATCGGAACGAAGACAGCGGAGGACCAGGCATGGACTTTACTTTATGTGTGTGTGGTCGTCGTCCACGAGGAGCTACTGCTTTTACTTTCGTTTTGTCATTTGCGTATTAATGTATTAAAGTGGTTTAAACGTTTGCCGGTTCCCGGTTTGTGTGCTTTTATCCACCTCTAAATAGCTATAAATTAAGCTTATGTCGTTTTAGTTTCATATTGTTCATTATTAGTTTCATAGGTTGTTAAACCTAAGACGAACTCTTCATATTGCGCTGCATTACTGTCAGTGTTGTTGACTATTACTGACAGTGAGGTTGCACTGTTGACGCTCGCGCAGCCTCTCGAGCAGAAATCTACACTAAGCGCACACACACACACACTCAGTTAACAACATACTGCCTATAAAAAATCTAAATGTGGAGTTTTTATATTTTTAACATATTAAGCAACCTCAATTATTTTTCCTGAACACCATCACGATTGAAAATGTGACATTAATTTCCAACAACAGTTCAATAAACAGTTAAAATTAAGTCACTTACATTTTAGATGCAATATTGGCTGTTTTTGTTCTGTTTCAGCAGCGAAAATAGTTCCAAACAAAAATCACAGCAGAACCACGGGGCATCTCACAGGAACACTCACTGTTTTCATTACTGAATGATTCAGCGTTTTGAACGAATCGTTTGAGTCAAAGATTCAATGACCCATTCATAAACATCTGTCTCAATCTTGAATGAATCAGCCGTTTGAACAAATCGTTTGAATCATGAATGAATCAATGACTCACTCATTAAGACGGTCGCCTGCCACCACCTACTGGCGGTTTCGTGTTATGTTTAAAAGTAGATCATTCTTTCCAACGTTTCTAATTTGTAAATTTAAATCTATTTCATAACATTATTTTATGCAATTGTAATTTTTCAGTGTAAATGATTTAATTTGATCAGCCCTATAGTGTCTTATTATTCGAAATAATTTAATTTATTGATCAAATTTAGGAATTTAAAATGAAAGATGAAGCATACATTTATTACTATTGGGGGAGGGGATGCCCTTTAAAGGTGCAAGTATTACAATATGCCGATTTAAATATCAAAGCTAATTGAACACTGATGAGAATATTGTTTCAGAATAAATTAACAAAAAAAAAAAAAAAATTCGGACGAGAAACTTTTTTGACAAGCGTAAGGCTTAATCTCGAGCCCTGCCTATAGCAATGTCATCAGGATACACATACACCGGTAGGCAGTGGCCCACCTTACCGGGTGACCATGTCGTGGTCCACCAGAATTTATAGTTTACCCACCTCTTTTTTTACCACTAAACCTCTGAATAAAACGTACGAGTCCCAGTAACGCCGAACCTCTCTTCTTCCTTCCAAACACTGAAGACTGAACCTAATTACAATGGCCCTTAAAGAATGTTTAAAAATTGTAAATGGCCCTTGATAGGAAAAAGGTTCCCCACCCCTGGTCTAAACCAAGATTATTCTTTGGATGTTTTTCAAACATAATAATAATCCAAATGTCAAAATGCTAATGCATTCTGTCTGTTGCTATTGAAGTACCTGATGTTGCACTATTGCATGACATTTCATCCCTGCATGGACAGTAAGCCTTTAAAAGGCCACAAAAATGAAATACATTTTTGTAAAAGTCTTCAGTCTTATTGAGGGAGATGAAGATGATTGAGATACAATTAGAAGAAAGGTCATAGGGTTAATTCACAATCAGGGGGCGTGTGCTTTGTGTTTAGTGATGAAAGCACTGTTGACTGAGAGGGGGTGTGACTCTTCAAAATGATGTTAATTGTTTTGACATTCATCACACAGCAAATGACTTTGCTTCCTAGTTCATCTGTCTTTGTGTTCCTCCATCAAAGTGCCACACATCATATAATGACATGCTCAAAGATCTCAAAAATTGACAGAGCACAAACAAATCTTTGTTCAAATCCAACAGCAGATAGACAAACAAAATGCACTTGGGCTGTCTAAAAAAATGTCTAAACACCCTCTCAGCCAATATTGAAACGTTATGAGTTACAAAAACATGTGAGTGATTCTATAATTGGAGATAAATTTGGTATTTCAAAATATTAACAGAAATTCTTTCCAGGATCTTATTGAAAACATATTACATTTTAATAATTCAGTGCTTGCCAAACAGGTTACTTCCTTTTTTTTTTTTTTTTTTTTTTTTACTTTTAACGAAAAAGTTATTTCTTTATAGTAGTGTTTGTCAACTCTGCTGCTACAGACAAATTAGGCAATGTGTAGAAATAACATTGGTAACAGAATTGACAATTTTACACTTTTTAGCCAAAAACTCCACTTGCTAGCATATATGCTACGAGCACATGACACTAATGAAATCATGATTGAAAGACTTTTAAACAACCTACTGTGTGATCAGTGATACATTCTGGTTTCCTTTTGAAATTGTGGTAACAATTTTGACGTTTTACAAAATAACTCTTGGTGTAAGAACTTTTTAGATTAAAATATTTCCTCAGAGAAAGCACACATACCTTTCAGTGCTTCAGATCTTATCAGTGAGGGAAAGTGACATCATTTCCTGTATCTTAGTTGTGGGAGATAATTCCACCAATTTAAAGGCAAAGTACGGTAACAGATTTGACACAAGATGTATGTACACATTTTTATGAGATATTAAGTTATTTTTAAACATTTTAATGTTGAGGAATTAGTAAAAATGATTAATTAGGGATTTTATAAATAAAATAAATGAAATATTACTAAAAGAAAAGTAAAATAAAATATTTTGGTTACACAATGATATGATGGAAAAAATACACTGACTAATTTGGACAACAAGAAATCATGGTTTCCAGCTATATAAAATATTAAATTGTTATGACCTTTAACATCTTGTGATCCATGACAATGACTAACAAGTTATTAAAATAATGAAAATATAACCATTTGAAAAAAGCATAAAATGTTTAGAATAAACCATGTATCCATAAACCATAGTCTCATAAATGTCTCTTTACTTTGCAATCCCATCCTTAACCAACAGTTATGAACCGTGTTCCTCGCATTGTGCATTTTCATCATGTTAAAGACCCATGAACATATGTCTATTTTCACAACAGTTTGCTGTAAACTATATGATTTCTTTAATTTCACACTGTTATTTAAAATGAAAATAATGTTTAATTACTCCTGTCATTCTCCGTGTCATCAACTGGCAGATGAAATCGACAATGAAAATAAAAATGAAAATAGACAATGAAGGGTACATTTAAGTATGACATGTTTAAGAGAGAGGTGCTGCCCGCTTGTATTGACAGAGAGAGGTAGGCAATGAGACGACATCAATTCCTGCATGTGCTGAACATTATGCATGACGACTATAACATATTTGTTGTCGTTTTTATCCTTTCTTTTTCCTCAGTTCGTTGGTTTGACTCATTATATTTGCATTGCTCTTTATTGACTCATTATGGTTCGTGTCTACAGAGCTGAGTGTTGACAGAGTGTCAAGATTATGCCAAGTCGTTAACTAAGACAGCAGAGTTGATGTATGCAGAAGCTAATTTGTGGTTCATTAAGTCAGTTTTTTTCTTCCAGAGAGAACATTTATGAAATTCAAATGAAAAATTAGATGTAACCCATAACTTTATCCATCTCTTGCCTCCTCTGTAATTTTAATTGTCATCTTAAGTTTTTTCCTTCATAGCAAATATGCTTATAAAGTGACATTATTTAAATTAAATACTTAAATTACCACCTAAAAACAGTTCTGCATTGCAAACAGTACGTATTAAGTTTAAAAAAATCACATTGCAGTGAAATGCAGTTTATTTTAGGCATCTGACAGGATGTTTTCCATGTGCGTGTTTGTCTGTATGTCCATATTAACTGTTGTACCTTTGTGCCTCAGAAAATGTAGGACGCTTAGTCACCCCTGCCAAAAAGCTTGAGGACACGCTCCGTCTGGCCGAGCTGGTCATAGAGGTGCTCCAGCAGAATGAGGAACATCATGCAGAGGTGAGTGCACCAGGCATGACGTGTTAGATATAATACATGCTTAAATACACATGCAGGAAAAGATACGTCAAAACAAACAAAGCTGCTTAAATATTAAGACCTCAGAACTATAACAACTCTTAAAAACATTTTCAATCTCGGAAAACCTTCCTCAATGGCTGCTAGCACTGTTTAGGTAGCATTTTTCCACTAGAGCAGCCGTCATCCTCTTACATACAAAGGCAGAATATATGTGTTTTGTGTTTTTAAATTATGTGCTCCGCAGGCTACAAGCACAAGTACGGGAGGTCAGGCGGTACAGTATTTTTTATTTTATTTTATTTTATTTTTTTGCTGTCATCAGTGCCGTGCCCTGCTCTTGCATGCCAGTCTCATGATCTGGCCTACACTGGAAGAGGCATTACATGGGCATAGCATATCAGGACTTATTTAATTTCAGTTCAGTTAATTCAAATTTTGTTGATTGAGATTTGTTTGAGATTCAGATAGATACACAGATAGATACACAGATAGATACACAGATAGATAGATAGATAGATAGATAGATAGATAGATAGATAGATAGATAGATAGATAGATAGATAGATAGATAGATAGATAGATAGATAGATAGATAGATAGATAGATAGATAGATAGGTTGGATCTATTCATCTTCAGTTTGACTGAACTGAAATTACTGTCACATTGACTGAATACATTAAAAGCATTGAAGGCATTAAAGTCAATGGACAAAATGTATACAGTTGTTCTTTTTATGTGAAATGCATTCATCTTTATTTCGGTTTATTTTCAGTCTGTTATTCTAACAGGCTTGTTTTGTTTTTATTTTATTTTATTTTATTTTATTTTATTTTATTTTATTTTATTTTATTTTATTTTATTTTATTTTATTTTATTTTATTTTATTTTAATTTATTTTATTTTATTTTATTTTATTTTATTCACTAAACCATTAAAAGGAATAGTTCACCCAAAAGTCACTAAGAACTCTTGTTTGTAATTCTATGGACTTAAAACATTATTCATTTAAACATTATTCCGAATATCTGCCTACAGAAATGGCTACAGTTTTAGAACAGCATAGTCATGGTTTACTCAACAAAATTATTCATTTTTGGGTGAACTATGCCTTTAAGCACATACAACCATTTTTTAATAAACATGTCCACTAAAATGCATGGAATATGGTATTTTACAAAGTCCAGTCATTTATCATGCACATTAAAATTGCATGTTCAAATGTACACATGTACAACATAATACATGCACAAAATAATTGAATAAATCTGGTAAACTGAATGGATGTACATTTGTTTTGTTTTTTAAAAAGATTGGAATCTTTACCAAACAGTCTTAAGCATAGGAATTTTTATTATTAAATTATTAAACATTGTTTCTATTATTTATTTGTTTTTTTTAATCAAGATTTACCATCAGTTATTCTTAACTTGTGATCATATTTCCAATTGCATTTTAAAGCCCTTTAATGCTGACGCATTTATAATGAAGTGCTCAAATACAAAAAAAAAAAAAAAAAAAAACTCACATAACTCTCACTGTTTTTCATTACTTGTTTGTTGGCTTGGAAACATTGGACAGGGTAAAGAGGTATGTAGACCCTATAGAGTCCCTATGTGCATGTCACAGCCCCTGCACCATGGATGGAGGGATTTCCACCTTTTCCTCCCTCTCTCTGCCTGGACACCCCATCCTTCCCCTATTCAGCTGTCCATATGGAGCGTTGAGCAAGTGGCTTGTGGTTCCACAAGCACGAGGGGGACAGTGCTTCACCTGTGGAAGCAGACCCCCCCAAAAAACTCAATGAAAATGAGACTGGTCTCATTTTCACCCTTGCACAACCCCAATTATCTCCAAACTCTCCTCTGTTTTGTGTCCTTCAGCTTGGTTTGGTCTGCTACCTTCACTTACCAGCTCTAACTACAAATATTAAACTACATTACAAATGCACTTCTCTGCTTTTTTTGGGAGAAGTGTTGCAATAAAGCAAAACTGCTAAATTGGTGTCAAGCATACTGGTATAAAAGGTTTGTTTGAGTGGTCAGTGACAACAGCATGATTTATTTTTAAAGGGGAGGAAGCCATGATTTACATTAACCTTTCATTTGTCTAACATGCTTGGTGCATATCTGCAGGCCAGATGTGTTACACACAGCAGCACAGCTGGATCAGCAGCAGAGGAATCTCACATAATTAAACAATCGAACAGATAAATAATACGAACTACTGAGATTGTGCTGCTAATCACTGCTGCTGCTGCATGCTGGGAATTTTTCTGTTACAAGAGCATAAATTCCTGTGCATGGACTTGTGGGAACATTCACATCTGCAAAATGTGACATACATAAGGATGTACTTTAAATACAAACCAGTGTATGTGTATTAGACATTAACTATGATGAGCTGTGCTTTTTAGAAGAGGGGACAGCATGACAGTTTCAATGCATGAGAAAAGCTCATGACACTCCACAGACACAAAGGTGAAAAATGACATTTCTGGACGGTCCGGTATAATCTCAAAACTATTTGGGGTCTTTAAAGACCAGTGTGGATTTAATAACTTTTTATAGATCTGTGGACTGTCATGCTCTTAAGTATAAGAGAAAAGGCTGATCTTCAATGCATGTCTTTATATTACATGACTGATTTTATTTTTGCTTTTTCTCTGGCTCTTGTATTGCCTCTTTCTCTCACTGCAGGCATTTGCATGGTGGTCAGATCTGATGGTTGAACATGCCGAGACGTTTCTGTCTCTGTATGCGGTGGACATGGATGCGGCATTGGAGGTTCAACCCCCAGACAGCTGGGACAGCTTCCCTCTCTTTCAGCTGCTCAATGACTTCCTGCGCATTGACTGTAAGTATTTTAAGGGGATCTTTTCTGGACAGGTCTTTGTTATTTTTATGCCTTATTAAATGAATAGTCTAGGTTAAATACAAAGTCATTTCTATTGAAAGCATCTGTGTCTCATAGACTGTCAGAAACATGTCAGTGCATCAATCTTAAATGTTAAACAAACAACAACAACAACAAAAAAAAAATTTGTAGAAGTAGAAGCAGATAACATCTTGTGATTGTGACCAGGAGGGAACCAGAAGTCATAATCATAATAAGCATAAATGTACGGAACTGGAAATTGAGAGAACCACAGTTCATAATTGTGATGTTGCAGTCCAAATATATTGCATGCCTACACAAATTGCATCAAAGCAGAGCTTTAAGAGACAATATAGAAGATTTAAAGGCCAAATAATGAAACCCGCAGGGGGTCAAACCAACACATTGAATGTAAAGAGTTTGCTCAAGGCCTTATCACGTCTCTAATGAACTGAAGTCAATAGGGTGCTGTCCATGGTGCTAAAGCCACTCTGCCATGGGCTGCAGTTAACTAATTATCCTAGTGGCATTCTTTGCACAGCTTGACAGCTTGTTGTCTGGTAACCTATTCTTGATATTGGATTGCTTTTTCTGCTGGTCGAGATGGAGCTTACAAAAGTGTGTGTATATGTATATATAAAGAAAAAAATTATAATAATATGCACACACACACACAGTAGATGTATTTTGTTTTTAATTACCCCAGAGGTTCAATTAAACCTTAAAAATATGAGGAAAATATTTGTAAAAATAAACTACAGCTACAGGTTTTATTTTACTCTGCAAAAGAAAATGCATAGGAAAAAAACGCTACAAAATAATCAGTTATTAATATGTCGTAGATTTTCTTTTGTTTTTGCATGTGTTCATAATATCTTTGTATGACATAAATAATTATGTCCTTACAATTTGGTTTAATCTTGTTATCACAAAAAAAGAAGAAGAAAAAAACTCTGAGCACAACTACACAATATGCTTACAAAATCTTTAACACATTTGAATAATACTTGAATAAAGGTTGAAGATGTCAGTTTTCCTAGGCCAGACATGGACACTTTTTGGCCACTATCACACATTTTTTTTTATTTTTTTTTTATTAATTAATTTATGTTTTCATATTCATTTTTTTATATTGTTCTTTGTTTGCTTTTATTTATTTTTCTTTAACACAAGTACATGAATAATACACTTCTCATAACTTCTCACTTGTAGCCTTCTATGAGAGATTGTCTTATTCATTGTGTTATTATTTATTAAATAATACAGATGTGGAATTTTATTTTAATAATCACTTTTAAAGAAGAGAAAAAATATAGTTTTTTATAGATGGTCTGTAATTCAGCATTCCAGCATTAGAAAGCTCTTCTCAAACACAAAACTAAAACACCGATGCACCATTCTTAACGCCATCTAGTTCCCCATAAACGCACACATATTACTCCTCACTACAACACAGAAACGCACATCATCTCCCCCTGGCCTCCTCACATACTCGCATAAACACAAACACAAGCAAACACCATCAAGCGACAGCCTACAGCGTGCACTGCATCTGTGGAACAGGACATTCAGCATGGAAGGTCACTATCGTCCTGTGCCTGTAGCACTGATCTAGGCATGAAATAGCCTCAACACCAGACAGGCGCTAAAGAAGAAGCTATTCATGCTGCTAATGAGGTCTAAAACAGAGGAGCCTGGGAGACCCCACTGCCCCGGCCACTCGCTCGCGGACAAACACAGCCAAGTGTGCAACCACCACCGCTCAAGTGGCTAATTGGAACAGAGCAATCAGGGAAGCAAACAAACATGGCACCTACTGTGAATGATCGACCTTGAGAGAGACCAGAGTGAGAGAAATAGAGACGCTATGACTAGTACTATGGTTAGTCATCACATGCTAAAACATAAGGCATTTTCCACCACATATATTGTGCCCAATTACTTAAAAAAAGCATTAGAGGTAAAAAGTCCATTGTTTTTTTTGTAATGAGCTATTAGATATTTTTGGATAATCTAACACAAAATTACCTTACAGGAAAGGTAGCTAATATATTTTTAAATATCTGAACAATTTCTGCTGCATGGATGGGAAGACAATAAGTAATCACAATCCTTTTCCTTAATTTTTACATAAACTTAATTTATGAGAAAGTATAAGTCGGCATGAAACGTAAGTTGCAATAATATTTTCTTAATATAATAATCTTAATATAATAATCTTATATTTCCAAGTCAAACGGCTTTTCAAACAAGAAAAATAAGTAGTGCAGGATTTGAATTGATTGGATCGTTGTGTTTGCTGTGATATCGGGAGTGACAGGATGTCCCACTCTCGCACCAGTAAACATGTCATCAGAGAAGAGAAGGGATGTCGCTGCAAGAGGGAGCGGAAATTGTTTTGATTTAAGATTACAAGGGAGGGTACGTGATTTAAAAAAGAGAAGAAAAGATGTGCACAGATTTATAATAAATACTGCAATATTCCATAAAAAAATAATTTTAAATTTTAACTTCATGCTGACTTCAACTCTAATCGCCAACTATTTATTTTTTCATAGATTATGTTTATTATTTATGATTATAGCTAAATATTGGTTAAAGGGTGGTAAAAATGGCAAACTCTATGTTAGCAATCATTCATTCTATTTGTCTCCTCTTTCCCACTTTCGTCTTGCTTTTTCAGATAATCTATGTAATGGGAAGTTTCATAAGCACCTGCAAGACCTGTTTGCCCCTCTGGTGGTGAGGTATGTGGATCTAATGGAGTCCTCCATAGCTCAGTCCATACACAGAGGATTTGAACGAGAGTCTTGGGAACCAGTCAAGTAAGCCAAACACTTTTTCACTTCAAGCGTTAGTTCTAGGGATGTTAATTCAATAGTACAATTATTGGAAAAAAATGTATGCAATTAATCATGCCCCTTGGACTTCCGCAGTCTTTTCATGTGTTCAATCCAGCAGAATGAAACAGACCTCGGGGGTCTCGTTATGTGTTTTTGTGTCTTTTTTTTTCTTCTTTTTTTCGAATCATTCTTTGCACTTGTTTACTTGATTTATAACGGCTTAACGGAGTCCTATATTACTTTTTTTACGTTTCAACTTTATCCAGTGTGTAATGTTGCTGTTTGAGCACGGAAAAGGCCTGCAAAGTTACTTAAGCACAAAGTCCACTACAAAGAGAGCTATTCTCTATATCAGTAAGCATTGTTTTTGGCGTGGCCTGGTTGAGTTGCATTGAAAGTGTGTTGAATTTCTCGGTTATTGTAAGTGGTATGACATTTCTGAAACACGCTTGAAGCCAATCACAACACACTGGTCCAGCCGACCAATCAGAGCACATTGCATTTTTTGAAAGGAGGGTCTTCACAGAGACAGGAACAAAACAGAGGGTTACTTACAGACCAGGAAGAGAGAGGTGCTACAACAATGTTGAAGGTAGGGTAGGCTATTTCAGAGTGGCTAGGAATAGCAAGTTAGCTTTGAAAGCATGTGATCCCACCTTTCCTTCAGAGCGTCTCCAAAGCCACGCCTCCTTCAAAACACATGAACGCACACAGCAGAGTCTGCAGAGCGTCACGAGAGACGGCGTTAAACTACCTCATGTCCCAAAGCACATAACTTTACAATAATAATGAACGTAAACAACAGTACAAAGCACTGACTTGTACCACCTGACTGCTGCAGATTTATTTCGCCGTTGATAGTAACATAGTTACATATCGGACCGAATGCAATGATTGGACAAACATTTTTTGGGCCCTGAGACTTCCACAGAAGATATATGTACATGTTTTAATATTTAGACCACTTCTATTCTACTAGGATGTAAAGAGAGTTTCAACCAGTATAACAAAAACTACCCTACCTTTAAATATGTGAAAAATGTAGTTTTTCGAACATTCAATCATGAAAACCTATTCTAGTAAACCCCAAAAACAAAAACAAGACTTTGAAAAGGGGCATAATATGTAATTTTATAATACTTGCATTTTATATAATTGGGTGTATTTGTGAGATTTAGGTTTCGTTTTTCTTCAACTACAGTAGCTCTAATTTTCTTACAGTCCTAACCAGCTCTGCTTGTTGAACGTTTATAATCATTTTTGCATGATTCCTAAATATACAAGTCACCAGAATAACTTTGAATCACTCAGCAAAGCAACATAAGACAAAGTGTGTGACTGTAGGAATGTTAATGCTAATTGAATCAACAATCTGCATTTCAGCAGAAACAAATGTGTGTTTTCTCATAAAACCAGAGCCAAAGTGGTGATAATGTGATTCACTCCGATCTCATGTGCACTTCTCATCTCTGCAACACCATCTTCTCTCTAAATGAATTCTTCATCTTGTGCTCTAAACATACTGTATGTAATGCCGTGTTTCTTTATCATCCATGCTTTCTTCTGTGCATCTACATCATTGCATTCTTTTTTCTGTTTCTTTTTTCCTTTTCCACAGGAGTTTAACAAGTAATCTGCCCTGTGTCAACCTACCAAATGTGAATCTTCAAATGCCTAAAGTACCAAATCTACCAGTGTCAGTTAATCTGCGACCAATGCAAATGCCTAGCTTTTCCACCCCCAACTGGATACCGGGTTTATCTGAAACTGAGTGTGTACTGGATTCTAATACATGCATGTGTGGCCTTAGCATCAACATTTGGTTCATATTTTATATTTCAATTCGGATTCCCCCCTGGTTAATTGTAGACAGGTTTCATTTAAATATTTTAATTAGGAAGGTGCTTTAGAGGTGCATCTACAGTTGGAATTTGGAATTGAGGATTTCAGCATGAATTAACATTTCTAAAATTATATTATGCAACATCACACAAAATTGAACAATGTTATATGTTTTTTGTTGAGACCAATAGTTCAAACTAGAGATTTATCCATAACATTTCCATGTTTGTGATAAGAATATCACAACCAAATGACATTTTTCCAGTTTAAAGCAATCTGTTGTTGATTTATGTTTGAAATCACCTTCATGTGTCATAATGCACATAAGGGGCAATAAACAACAATAAACAAAAACAGATGCTTTGACATTCTGCTATCCAAAAACAGATGCTGTGCAAAAGGCCAATATCTTACTAATTGAGTTTGTTTTTGGTTTTTGGTAAATACAATTTAATGTTTTAAATCATAATTTTATTTTATCATATGATAGTGTATTATATATGTAGAAAGATTTTTCCATCCTAAAGGGTCATGAAACACTAAACCACATTTTCTGAGATGTTAACGGAGAACACATCATAGAAAACAATATTAGCATCCATTCATTTTAATTGCAGGAGAAAAAAAATTTTTTTGGGGATTTGTTGAGCTATTTTCATCTTCTGGGTTTAAAGTACAGTGTAGTGTGTAGCAAACTACTTGCACTAGTGTAGTAAACTACTTTTTTTTTTTTTTAAAGTCTTGCTTTACTGTATCTTAATTTAATAAATAGTAATGTAAAAGCTTGGCAATTTTCAATTTTCAAGAGACACTATATTACCAAATGAGTTGAAGCTGTTATAGATGCAACCCCATATTAAACCCTATGGATTAAGAATGGGATGTCATTAAAGTGTGCGTGTAAAGGCATTTATGCTATAACCTAGCGCATTTACAGTCAGTACAGAAATGTTAGATTGTTCATTAATGTGCACTGTCCCGAATAAAAAAATAAAATAAAATAAAAATAGAACTTTTGGCAATATTGTGTACATATAAAGAAGAGATATCTTGACTCACACTAAGGTAATATTATGGTAGTAATATGTACATACAATCAGCTAATTCCAAATATTACAATTAATAGAATTACAATTAATAAAAAAATTGCGATTTAGGGAATTGACAGAGGTGAGCCGAAGGAATTTTAGCTTATATTTAGACATGATAATTAAAAAAAACAATTTTCCAAACCTTAGCATTTCACCACTTTCCAGATGAGAGTGAAATACCTTCAGCGCTGCATTTATTAAAAAAAAAAAAACATTATGCATGCACAGACACACACATAATTACGCATGCTGAGTGACACTCGATCTCTAAGGTGTAATGATGGGTAAACTCCAAAGGTTGCCAAAACTACTTCAGTTGCAGCTACCAAACTTCAGTCAGAAAATATTTGTACCTGTCTAGTCATGTCAAACTCAAGCTTAAAATACTTTCTATTTAGAATTTGGTTAGCACTTTATTTTACAGTCCTGTTCCGCATGTACAGTACATACTATGTACATATTATAATAATTACAAAAACTGGGTAATATTTACCTACCCCTAAACCTAGTTACCTTATATTATCTAGTACTTTCTTAGGTAAGTACAAAGAATGCACAGTGCACTGTAAAATAAAGTAGGCTACAACCAGAATCTGTGTTTACAATAAACCTGAATAATGTTTCACTAATATATATTTATGCTAAGGCCACAGCATGGAAATAGCCCATGGATAATTTGAACCCAAAAAGTCCTAAGCATGTTGAAGTGTTGGAAGATACAAATACAGTATCACACTATAAAAACATGCTCATGTTTTGATAGCTGAATATTGAAGCTGAAGTGTGTAATTTCTGCACTAGCTGCGCCAAACAAAATCACGAAAATAACTAGGAATGTTTGTTAAGACAAAAGTTGAATGATTCATTAATATCAAGCCATGATATGATGACGGTCTCTTCTTTGTTCAGTCAGTTTGCCCCGCCCTAAACTCATGCCATTGGTTGAGCCAATGTTGCTCGTCAGCCACTGAAACAAACAGATTGCAATTTTGTTTTGGTGCCGCAGAAATTACACACTTAGCTGAACCACAATAGCATGGTTATATGATTTAGATGGTCATCGTTGATATCTGGTCATGAATAAGTGATGTTAACATCTTGTATCTTTCCAACATCTTCCTCCTTTCCCTTTTTCTATTAGAATAGAAAATGATACAGGTGTTTTTCCTCTTTCTTCTTGCTGTATTGGCTGGGTATGGGGTCCCAGAATAGTAGCTCTCCTTCTGTACCCTGCCTTAAGATGTAGGGTGTTGGGGATAAGAATACTGAGGGAGATCACCCCATCCCCCTCTTGGTTCTGTCCTGTTTCCTTCATACCGTTCTCTGAAGTGATATAGCCTACATACTTCAGAGCAACAGGCATCTGCTTTCAGGAGAAACCAAATACAAGACTCTAAAATGACTTTACTGGTTGTGTGAGTAACCCAAACTTTAAACTGCATTGCTTCTCACAACAGTGTTTTTTACACAATGGATCGATAATGTTTTGATTGACATCTGATTTGACCAGTTTTACAAGAATATACGGTTTCATTTACTTTTTTAAGAATTGCATTTTCAAAACTTGTTTAAAAGTCCAATTTTCTAATTTAATATAACATTTTTCCATTACAAATTACTGTATATTATCAGCGCAACATGAAAACATGCTATCAAGCTAATTTTTTTTATTGAATTTGATATACTAACTTAATAAATAAACGAATAAATAAATAGTCACCATTAATCAATCTGTAAATATTTCTACACATCCTTTTGCTGCTGTATGTGAGTGTCTGTTGAGTCTGTTAGACGACTGCACAAATGAACCGACCCTTGGAGTCTTCTATCTAAATCTGGCTTCAGTGTGAAGCTCTCATTGCTTCAGGCGATCTTAAAATATGTTTCCACTGAAGATGCCTTGGCCTGCTGGCTGTTTGAGGACTCTGTACTCAGGCTGTGAGGAATGGTGTGAGAGTCAGTCTCTTATTTTCTTTCTATGATCTATTCTTCATTCAGTTCGGACCCTGTGGAGCTGAAATTGGTTCCGTTCAAACAGATCTATAGCTTTAGTCTGATCAGTTGAAAGTCTGGGACTGTAGCTTCTCCTGCCACTTCATACACATACAGTCTTTACTTGTGATCCCGCAAGTCTCCTTTTACATTATTGTGCATGTTTTACCTTACCTGTTCTCAAACAACCAAGTAAGGCCTGATTGTTTATCATTTTGTTTTAGGATTAACCATTTATTTTTTTCCATGGAACGATCGCCAATGAGGTTGATCTGAAGCCGTCAGGGCAACTCTGCAACGATCGGGAAGTGGTAAAAAATAAGTTAACCAAATGTGCCACCCTGGACTCGAACCAGGCTTTGTCTTCTTTAACAACCCCCTGCCCTCTGACCTTCCTACTTCCTGACCTTTTCCAGAGCATTCCATTCCTGATATTCAGCTTCGAGTAAAATCACTTTGTGTATATCCCTCTGACTGTCTCTTCTGCATTGGCAGTAATGGTTCTGGGACTTCAGAGGACTTGTTTTGGAAACTGGATGCACTGCAAACATTCATAAGAGACCTGCACTGGCCAGAAGAAGAGTTTGCCAAACACCTGGAGAGCCGACTGAAACTCATGTCCAGTGACATGATTGAGTCCTGTGTAAAAAGGTAAGGCTGGAAAACTTTCTTGACGTTGGAAACCTGTTAACAGTCTTCTAACACAACAACTACAGATATCTAGTTGTCCACCCTTTTTTTGTGGAATTTAGGCTGTTGTATTTTGACAGTTGACACTTTGTGGCATGTACTGCAGTGTGACATGCTAAACTCCATTTAAAACAATTTTAAACAGCACTTTGCTATTTTTTTATTATTATGTGTGCAGCTTTCATGACAGAATATTAATTGAGAGACGGCATTAATTATTCGTACTTTTACTTCACACCCAGGACTAGAGAGAGACAAAACATGATTAAAATAATAATACAATTATAAACTTTCATGTTTGTAGTAAAGTTTGTTTCTTAAAAATAATATTGAATTTCTACAATACAGAATATTGGCTTAATCTTAAGGATGCACCTATTGAAATATTACTTATTTTACTATATATATATTTTTTTACTTTTAAAATATTAATTATTTACAGTGGATATAAAAATGTGCACAAAGTCTTCCACAAGAGATGCCTTCAAAATTGAACAGATCTGGGACGTTTTTCCAAAAAAGAGTGGGAAAATATTCAAATTAAAGATGTGCCAACCTGATAGATTTATATACAAAGATACTATAATAAAATTATGTAATACAATTAAAGGGTGATTGAACTTGGAGTTCAGGGGTGTGCACACTTATGCATTTTGTTTTTCCACATTTTTTTTTTTCTTTTCTCTGAAATGTCACTTTTTTATTTTATTTTATTTTTATTTATTTTTGTCATTGCATAGGTTGTAATTTTTACATTAAACAAGCAAAAGCTCTGATATGATTCATCTTTCTTTTTTACATAAAGAAAAGAAAAGAAAAGAAAAGAAAAAGAAAAACTGTTTTAACAGGTGTGCATACAATATATCCAGAGTACATGTTATGGCCAACATTAAAATTGTGTACTATTTTTGTCTCAATAATTTAAACACCGGAATCTAAAATGTATCATTTTAAATTCTACAAATGAATTGTGGCATCACGACATTATAATGTAAAGTAATGTCATGGTAATTTGCTGAGTCGGAAGATGATCTGGCTTAACAAGTAAAATAACCTACTCCTTTCCTATTCCAATCCACACAAAGACTTAAGTAAGCTAAAAATTGTGATTAAAAAAACTAATTTGTTTATTTTATATTTTAATTTCTTTTTTTCTTATTTCTTTCTTTTTTTCTTTTTTTCTTTCTTTCTTTCTTTTTTTCTTTCTTTCTTTTACAGTCCTTTATTGGATTTCAGTCAACAAAAGTTACAAATCTACCGAATAAATATGGCTACACATAGAAGCATATTACACCACTAAGAGCGCCAGTTACCACACTTTAATGCAGAAACTCTCAACCGGCATATATTTCATTCTTGTTTCCTCACTTCACTTTTGACATCCTACTTCTGAATTACCACAGTGGAATTTATTCTCCTCTGTGTTGTTTCAGAACCAGAGCAGCCTTCGAGGTGAAGTTGCAGAAGAGCCCCCGCACCACAGACTTCCGTGTTCCTCAGTCCATATGCACCATGTTCAATGTCATGGTGGACGCCAAGGCCCAATCCGCCAAACTATGTGCCATGGAGCTCAGCCAAGAGGTACACATGTACCCATACACAAGGAACTTCTCATGTTCTCTTTCTCTCTAGCTTTCTCATCTTTGCAAACATACAAACTTTCTCTGCCACAATTTCCAGTCAAATGCCCTCATAATGTGCTCATCCTGCATCTTAGTTTAAATAGCAGTTTGCACCAGCCTATGATATATACAGTAGGTATATATGAATTGAACGTTGTTTTTTAAATTCATATACACATATTCTCTTTGATTGCAAGTGTACCACTTTAATTCTACAGATCTGAATGATTCACCAGCATGGCAATTTTCCATTGTTTCTAAATTTTTAATTTAGTTTGACTCTGTGCTGGAATGAGATGTTTTCTTTTTCTCTCTGTTGCTTTCTAATTGTCACTGTCACCTTGTCTGCTGTATCTTTCTTTTCATCCCTTTACTCAATCTTGTGAAAGTTTGTTAGAGAATGGGTAAGTGTGGCTAACAATTCAATTGAATTCTCACCTTTGTGTCCCTAAGGTATAATTAGCTATCCTAGCAGTTTCCCCCAGTCCTCTGACACTTAAATTGTTTTGATTATATTACCATATGTGATAGCTGGTTCTGAATATACATGTGCTAGAAGTGAGACATCTCATATCCGTAGCATCTTGAGACAGGTAATGATCTGAACTGAATTAATTACCCAGACGTCCTTTATATGAGGTATTTGGAGACAAAGGGATTGGGTTTGCACAGATTATCCCAGGTGAAAACCACCAAACAGCTCGAAGAAACCTTGTTGCAATTCATACTCATCATGTCTTTCTTTTCCAGAGACAGTACCACTCGCAAATTGACGATCTCATCGAGGAGACGGTGAAAGAAATGATTACTTTACTCGTGGCAAAGGTAGCATTCAGGAAAACGATATTCCCCATTTGTGTTTTTACATATGCATATATATATATATATAAAAAAAGTAAATAAAAAAAGTAAAAACAGACTTTAATTTTATAAATCATATTGTTTGTGGGTTAAGTTTCTATTCATTATTAAATCTCTGGAAATTCACAGGACAAATTATGCTGTTTATATTTTGAAATGTGATATAGTTAAAACATTTATTTGTGTGTTTTTCTTTGTTTTTCAGTTTGTTGTAATCCTAGAGAGTGTTCTGGCAAAGTTGTCACGTTATGATGAGGGCACACTTTTTTCCTCCTTCCTGTCATTTACAGTAAGAACAAATAGTGTTTTTCTAATAAAAAATCTTTTACTATTTTCACAAGATACTTTGGGCCAGATTTACTAACAGCTTGCGCCAGCACAATCCCTTTTTTGGCATTAAAAAAACTACTGTCAGGATTTACTAAAGATACACAGTGACAAATTAGCGCTGAAAGTGCACAGGGTTATTTTGACCTTATCGCATATGCATTTGTTGAGAGTTTCCCTTTCAGACAGAACATTTATGGGAGGAGAGTATTTAAATGAATCACTCAATGCGAATAACTGAGGTCTGCATTAGTCAACTTACTGGTATTTGCGCCATTGTTTACCACCCCAACAAAAGCATGTCTTAAACCAGACGGTAATTTGCGCTGCTCTTGGTAGATTGCGTTGGTCATTATGGAAATGATCCGGCCACGTCTGTGTTCTTTCATTTGCGATTCGTCAGAGGATCACGCTAATTTGCCCTGTTTAGTAAATCTGGCCTTTTGACTCCAAAATGGATTATTTCAACAACAAAAATAAATATTGTTTAATCTTATATTAGGAATTGTAAAATAAACTGCTTTGTTCAGATCATATTTCTAAAGAAGATCTTGTCTATCACATTGCAATATTGTATAGGCAAAATATTCATATTTAAATGATTAATTAATTTTCATTTTTAAATCTCTTTTATTTGTAGGTAAAAGCTGCTTCGAAATATGTGGATGTTCCTGTAAGTGACAACAGGATTTTTCTAATACTCATTGGTTGATTAATTTAAACAGTTCATTGTTTATTATTTAACGTAATATTTAAGTTGTTCATCAATTCGTTTATTCAGTTTTTTCCTTCTTGTAGACTCATTCACAATTCAATAATAGTATGTTACACTGTTACACTTTAAGATATGGCTAATAATTGCCATGGCCTGCGGTGCAGATGGCCATCTCTGAGCCCCAAATGGCCATTCATATGTATGTGTGAGAAAGTCGTCTCTGTGAAGCTCTACCCTCTGCAGCAGACAGTGTGATGTGTGTGTTGTGCAACAAAAGCGCGTCGTGAGGATGCCGCTGGGTCCAACTCATTGCACTCAGCATCACATCACTGAGTTTCCTTCAACTGCCAACACATTTGGTCACAACGCGAGGCTTTTTAAATTAAAAGCCTGTCAATGAATGTCGGAAGCATCCTCTCGCTCTCTTTCTCGTACTCCTGATGGTCTGAGGGTCAGGGAATCTTATGTTTCCATGTTAATTGTTTGCTTAATACACAAAATAAAATTATGTCTGACAAACTTGCTCATTTGCACCCTCTGAAAGGACCCATAGATGTGTGAAGTAAGTTCAATTTACAGCGTCTGACAATTACCAATTCTGATGACCTTCATATGCCCGCTGGCAAAGGAAGTGTTTAATTCTCCGCTGAGGCCGGGCAGGGGGGCAAAACACCCCAGATGATTTACCCTGGGTTGATTTTTCACTCGCTTTTTCGTTGAATAGAATCTTACTTAATCAGATATAGCATTGTTCTCCTGCCGACATGTTCAGACTTCAGACTCTGACAATGACAGCTCATTTTACACGCCTCGTTTTGACGTTTTGACTCTTAGACATCTAGGAAAATGAGAAAGAAAACACTTTTCATCTGCTTGTCAGGTGAAACACCATTAGTTTATTTGACAGTAACTTGCCACAATGCAAAAAAAGCTTAAAAATGACCACGAGCTTCAAATTAGCATGACAATACAGGTTTACAAACTGTTAAGGTGCAGTCACAATAGGGAATTTTCAGCAAAATTTGGGGGGCAAAAAGGTCAATTGTTGAGAGAGTAGTGATGTATGAAGCACAGGAGTCACTTTCCGTTGGTCAACATGGCAAATTCACATGACCAACTTGATCCTGACGCCTTCAAGCAAAATTCAAGATTGAAGAGATTTCTATTGAAATTACTGGATTTCGATGATAAAAATTCACTGAACAATGGTAAATGTTACCGCGCCTTTATTCTGTTTACATTTAGTCTCAGCCTCAGTCTTGGCTGGACGTCTGATGCATAAGGTACACACATTTGGAAACACTTCAGGAGTTTTCTGATTGGTTGCATTCTACAGGATGTCCCGGAGACGTGTGTGTCGCGTTCTTTAACGGTCTGCCTGTAAACAAAGCTGTCGTGACGCCAAACCCCCTCACGGAACAAGAAAGCTGTTGTGTTTACAACTGCGACTTGCTTTTCAAGAGTTTTACACGCCATTCTGTTGTTGTAGGGACATCAACTTTACATTTCCACTCCCCTAAACTGAACAAAACAAACTGTGATTAGTTGCTTTACATTGTCAGTCAGGCGGCCTCTTGGGCGGTCCTTGACCAATTAAAGCTGCCATGGAGACCAGGGATTTTAATTTTTGAATTGTTAGGCATCTTTCTTCATGGAAAAGCCAATCCTAGAAAGCGTTGCGACACTGTGAAAAAAAAAAAAACCATCCAAGATGGCGTGAGAGTTTATTATAAAAACTTCAGTAATCAATACTAAAATAAAAATAGATTAACAAATACTGTAATATAGTGTTGTTGAGTCGAGTGTATTTGTGTGGTGCTGCCTATATGTAGAAAGTTCATTAGAATTTGAAACAGAGCTGTTGCATACTAATATTTAAATTGTTTCAAGCACTAATATATCTTTCTCTGTCTCTCTTTCCGTCATCTGCAGAAACCTGGAATGGATGTTGCTGACAGCTATGTGACATTCGTTCGCCATTCTCAGGATGTCTTGCGGGATAAGGTCAATGAGGAGATATATATAGAAAGGTTATTTGATGTAAGTAATGGCTGTCTTCTCCCTCTGTGAAGGGGGAGGCCCTTCAAAATGTGACATAACAGCCAGCTAGGAGGGATAAGTCACATTTTGAGACCTGCTTCTTTCTTTTCCTTAGTTATTTTTTTTTTTACTCTTTGACTCTCTGACTCAAACTTTCTCTCTTGCACTGCTTCTCTGGCTTAACCTTTCCTCTCTGGTTTGCAGTGCTGTGTGTGTTCCTGCGTGTTCTGGCTGTAATATTCCCTTCGCTCTGCTCGTTATTCCTAGTGCAAAATTCTGGAGGAGGATTATCTTAAGATGTGTTCTCACACAAAGGGACATGCAGATGTGAGATTAAGCAGTTCAAGTCACCTACAACACACATGCAAACAAAGATAGTAACTGATGATTCACAGATGAATGTACAGAGGTATACATTTATTACAGGCCTTTGATTAAAGGTTCTTCTTATTCAGAATAGCTTGTGGTTTGATTTAGAGAACAGTAGAATAGAACTATACAGAAGTCCTAAGAGGCCATGCTTTATTTTTTAATGATCACAATTTTCCCGTAATCTTGGTTGAACAATTTTTTTCCCCTCAAGATTTTGACTTTATTGCGACACTTTTAGCATACTCTTCTGTTCAAAAGTCTGGGGTCAGTCAGTAAGATGTTCTCTTTTTTTTTTTACATTTAAAAAATAATAATTATTTAGTAAGGATTTGATAAAACTGACAGTTATGACTTTTATAATGTTACAAACGATTTATATTTCAAATAGATGCTTTTTTTATGTTCCGCAGAGAATCCTTGGGGGAAAAAATTATCTTGGTTTCCACAAAAAATATTAAGCAGCACAACAGTTTACAACATTGATATAATAATCAATATTTCACCAAATCAGCATATTATAATGATTTCTGAAGGATCATGCGACACTGAAGACAGTTGACAGCTTTGCCATCACAAGAATAAATTACATTCTAAAATATATTCACAATATTTCAATTTAAACAATGCCACAATATTACTGTTTTCACTGTATTTTTGATAAAACAAATGCTGACCAAAAGAGACATTTTTCAAATAAATTAAAAAATCTTACATACCCCACACTTTTCAATGGTATAGTGTAATTGTTTTGTAATTTCTACATAAATGTTGAGATGTTTTCTCAATATCTTGAATTAAAGATTATTTTCTCATTTTCTTGTTGATTTGGAGAAAACAAAAGCATTTTCTAAGTTCAATATACATATTACTGTATCATGTATGAGCGTATTAGATTTTACTGTGATCATAGGCTCACTCATGCTAAAATATCTCTGTCCGTCATGGATAGACACTTTCAAATCCATGTCTGACACTAGAGAAAACATTCATAAAGTAATATGAAGTCTGTATGAATATATTACTAACATGTGTTTCAGTGATTGAAACTAACCAAAGAAATGGTTACTTTCATGTCAAGATCATGAAAAAGTGTGTGGGGGGGGGGGGGGGGAAGAATGCATGTCTTCTTAGGACTTCCATTGAAACTGGACAAATTAGATATACTAAAACAATCAGAGTGTGAAGGATATTGTTTTGTTCATTTTAGCTGATAGTTGTGGCGGGGGTGTCACAAAGGCAACTGCCCTATTTCCAAAGTAAATCTCCTGCTAAGGAGATCCAAATAGAGAGAAGCCCTCCAAACCTTGGGCTTATTGTGATAAAGGCTTAAAGAAAAGGAAAGAATGAGGGAAACACTGAGGGCAAGAAAGAGAAGTTGAATAAGAAACACTGAAGGGGAGGGCACACAATGGAGAACACCGTCTTAAGGGATGGCCAGGGCCATCATGTTGGTTATAATCCTTTTGTGCTGTCTGTAGACCAGTTTGTTAAGTGTGTGTTGTTGGAAAGGTGTGTTTGCATTGTGTGGCTAAAGACTTTTTTGTTTATATTCAGAAAGAAAGCCAGAGCGGGAGCGTCGCTCTAGGATCGGTTTTCTTGTCCATTTGCTCAACGCTGCTCCTCAAGACAACCTGATCTGGAAAACAGCGCTCCCACTCTGAAACGCTTTGTGAATATAGCTCCTCGTGTCATATGTGAACAATTCAAGTAAGAATCCTGATCGTGGTTCATTGTTGACTTTCATTTCACGGTGAAAGCTGACCCGGGATCAGTAGTCTTACTATGAGATGCTTTGAACATGTGAGCTCTGGTTTGTGCGTTTTCTGAGTGTCCTACAAAAAGGCTGCTTGAATCTGCTGCTCTACGCCATCTTGTACTGGTTTTTACCTGGATTTTGCAATGCCTAACTATCTTTCTCCCCTCCTGGAGGGTGTCTGAAAAGATTCTGTGTTCTTTTCTTTCTTCGCTCGCTTGGAATGAGATGGTGTTGCTTATTTTCCAGCCGCATTGTGCATTTGCTTTCACTTCCTCGAATGCAAACAAGGGAAAAAATCCCATCTGCCTTGTTTTTTCTACCCTCTCATTCCATTTCTCCATTTTGCTTTCTCGTTTTTTCCACCTCCTTTCTTGCTCTCTCTCTCTGCGCCCTGAACCGAAATGAAACTTATCCTTCCTGTCAAGTTGTTTTTGTCACATTATGCCAAGTGGCGTTATTCAGAGTCAAATAATCTTCCTTTGTACATCTACTAGCATGGCCCGTGTCCTCAGAGACTCAGCTCCTACATGCACTTACACACATCCATCCACACAATCAGCCAACGAGCCCGCCCTCCCCAACCTCCCGCCCCATCGCCGTCAACCCCAGATGGGCACGCATGGCACACATCTCCCCTCTCCACCCGCTGAAGTGGTCGGGTCTCCGTAGGCAGTTGAAAAAGACAACATGTGTGCATGCATACACACATGCACGCTCGCTCCGTCTCGCACACACGCTAACACGCACACGCGGTTCCTCACTGTTATGCTAAACAGCCATTGAAATAGCTCCGCTCTTTAGCAGGGGCTCCAGGCAACCTGCTCAAATGTTTTCTTCTTACTTTGTCATTTCACTTGTTAAAGATGTCATAACATCCTCCACAATGAGCCATAACACCACGTGCTGTTGTTTTAAACCCGCTACACGCAGCCTATTTAAAAATCGGCACTCAGTTCATTATAAAAATGACTTAGATGAGATTATAGTATCGGTATCACTAATTAAACGGGTTTAAAAGAACAGCAGCCTCCTTTTTTCCACTTTTTTTTTGTATCCATTTTTGCTGACTTGCACATGAAACACTTTACAATAGGTCTCATTTTTTTAACATTAGTTTAATGCATTACCTAACATGAACTAACAATGAGCAATCTATTTTACAGCATTTGTGTAAACTTTTGCTCTTACATAATCTTGATCTTAATAAACACTGTAGAAGTATTTCTTTGTAGTTAATGTTAACTAATGTTAACTTATGTTAACTAATGAAACCTTATTGTAAAGAATTGTAAAGGAAATTTACAATATACTATAATATAATGAAGCAATAGAATTGGTTCATATTGGTGTTGATATTTGTTCATCTTTGCAGGTTTAGTCAGACTAGCTGATGAGAGTTAAATAGTTTCTCCTGAAATTGTACTAAGAAGTTATTGTACAATGAAAATGCCATATTCTTTTTTTTGGGACAGCTTTCCAATCACTACAAGGGCTTTTTTCTCTGTATCGTGGTTTTTCTTTTTTCTTTTTGTGTTTGAATCAGTCAAAATGTTGCTTTCACTTGTTATTTTGGCTAAATATTCCTGATGGCCTCTTTCCCTTTTACAATTTTTTTCAATTTTTGATTGTTTTAAGTAATCCGCTTTGAAATGATCTGTTAGGTGGGTGTAGTATAATTGCTTAGTGGTTCTTGGCTGGTTGTCATATTGAAGTATATGTGGCCCACGCTAAGCTTGGGTTAATTGGGGTCAAGGATGCTGATTTCTCACAGACAGAGATGGCACATTGGCCAGAGTAAGAAGATTATACTTGTTGTTTGACTAATTCAAAATATGGCTGCTTTCATAACGGCATTTCATAATGCTGAAAAAGCGACCATATGGGAATTGGTATTAAAAATGAAAACAAAGAAAAATGGATGAAATTCAGTCCAGTGATATGCATAAAAAGGATGAAGAGTAAAATAATACTAATTGTTAGGAATCATAAAGAGGCTTATTGATCATTTTTGTTATTTATTTGTTATAAGAACAGATCAAATTTTTAAGAATTTCTCAGTTTGAAATTGTGTTAAGATACATGTATATTAATTAAACTATTAATCAAATGTTAATTCAAATTTAGTTGTTTAATATATTTGTCAATTTTGTCAATTTGGAAACATATTTAAATACATTTCAGTGGTGAAATTTACTTGCAAGTGGTTTGTTGCAATATCATGTAATATTCATGAGATTTGAGACGATGGAGATTTTTAAGAAGGTCATATTCCAGATACAAACTGCCTGAGAGGCAAATCGCTTGCCAGTGGACGGATGAAGTTTGTTAAGTTCAGGATAGAGGACCAGAGAGGGGGATAGAAAGGGAGAGGGATGGAGGGGGGAGAGAAAATTAATTTATTTCACTCTGCCAGCCTGCCAGTTCTTGAAAGAACAGCTGAGGAGAGGAGGATTAAGGCAGCTGTGCTTAACGTGAGGGCTCATCTGTCAGATTGGGGCGGAGCACATAGATCATTGATTAAAAAAAGCCATCTCCAAATCCAGCGCTTCACTGATACCGCCGTCCTGCCCCGGCTCTTCAGTGTGTGTGCGTGCGTATGCATGCGTGTCTGAGTGCCAGCAGAGAGACTCAGATACACAGCAGATTACACACGTCAATTATACACTTAATCTGCTTCTGGAGGAGATTGTGGCCTACCCTCATTGATTAATTTGAAGTATTCCCGTTGACCTTGGCAGTTATCAGATCGACGAGATTGCACTTTACGGTGACGGACGGTTAATGCGGTTTAATCGCTCCACTGCTGGATACTGTGAGGAGCAAGTAGGGTTAGAGATACTGGGAAGCCGGGTGGGTTTTGACTGAGCTGCTG